TTACTGTGCACTTCCATAACTTTCTTTGAAAGTACCAGAGTATTTCATAAATACTTATGAACTTAGTCTCCTTGTTCAGTTTGCCCAGTTAGAAAACAAATTATATCAATGCACCTTGCATTTTCATGTTAACTATTCTTCCCCTGGATGGTACACTGCTGTTCACTGCAGTTCCAAATCCCAAGCCAGGAAACAGCAAGGGATTTGGATGACTGGAGGGGTGGTGGGGAATACAAAAATCCCTAGGAAGCTTCAAAGGCTATCTTCTGGGCTTCCCAATGGATGGACAAGGGAAAAGAGACAGTCTTTGAAGATGGGCGAAGAGAAGCCAGAATGTCACTTCTTTTAGATGTCATCATTCTGCAGAGGGATGTAATTTTACTGTGTTCTAGTGCTAGGGAAGCCAAAGTACAGGCTTCTAAAAGGTGCTGAACAGTTTCAAAGGAAGGTAGCTGCCTCTGCAAATTTTGGAAAAACAGGCATCTTCAGTTCAAGTCCTAGAATATACATAAAAAACTGAATCCAGTTATCTTAAGGCCACTTTTCTGAAAAAAAATTTGGGGTTACATCTTATCTGATCCCAGCCTTCTCAGTAATTATTCAGTCCAGGATGAGTTTTATATGTTTCCCTAGGCTGCCTGAATTATAAGATTAAATCACTTTCTCTTTGGTAACAATTTCAGGAAAAGGAAAAAAAATACCGGGTCAAAACCCGCTGAACTGAAACTAGTAAAAAACCCAACAGGACAACAACAAAACCCCTCAACGATATAAGCTGCCATATATGCAAGACAAGTGACAAATAAAATTTTATTTATAGAAAAAAATCAAGTAAGTTGAATGCACAGGACTTGGCTAAAGGAAGACTAAAAAAGACACAAGTGTTAAAAGATAAATTGAAACTTGGAATGCTGTATAAAGATATATATTTTAATGATATACAGTAATATAAAATTATGAGAAGGAAAATATAAGACCATTAAACAGGGGAAAAAAAGTTTAATAATGACAATCTAAAAGGCTACAGAATTGTATTGTGAAGGAAGCTCTGACAAATTTACCTGTGTCATTAAAACCTGGACTGACTAAGATCTGGAAATACTCTATACTGAGAAGGAGAAAGCCAATTAGAAAATTTTACTTCTCAGATCTGCTTGAAGGTCTTTAGCACAACATCTTCCATTCAAGCCTGCAGTTTAGGACAAAATAAGGCTAACACTATGTGATAATACAACAGAAGTCTCACAAACATAGACTTGGAGAAGAAGCTGTTTAAGGAAAAACACGGTAACAAGAAATGATACCAAAAATGCTCTTCAATGTTTTTCATATGATGGGTTTTTTCAGGTATATTTTCACACTTATATTTGATTTTTGGTTTATTGACTTAGCGTTCAAATGTAAAGTCAAATTTGCATTTTCAATGCTATCTCATTTGCCTCCAAATGAACAACACCCATTCTAAAGATCAGAAGATGAGTAGTCTTAGACACACATAGCTATTCATGCTTTCTTGTACATGTACAAGAAATACAAATCAGTATGAAAGTAGCCGGAATCTTTTTCATCATCAGGACAGTAACAGTATTCCTCCAGCCAGAATCGTGCTGAAATAATTCATCTAGATTCAGCAGAAAAAATAGAACTGGCTCATTTAGACTATGCATGGGGTAAAACTTTGTATGTTAAAATGTAAAAACAAACAAACAAACAAAAACAAAATGGAAAAAAAACCAAGAAAGATGCATCTGTTTTCACTGACAGCCTCACTGTCCCTGCTCAGCTGTGTCAGTTCTGCCAGTAATGAGCATAAGAACTAATATCACTGGGTTTTGTTCCTTTGCAGTAAATTATAAATGCAACTCCGATGGCAGTACAAGCCATTACAACTCTGACATCAAGAGGCTGAGGCACACTTAAGGCTTGGGTTGATTACCTGTCTTTGAAAGAATCTCTCAAAATTAATCAAATTGCCCTGCTCCCCGCAGAAGAGTACGAATGTGTACCACAGAAAACACACACCCAGCCTTAATTCTGTCCTGTAAGGGATCTAATATAAGGTGCACAGGAGTGGTAAGGACTGGCTGTTCCAAATGGCCTCAAAGAAGCAAGCATATACAGAAAAGTACAGTACAGTGGTTTGCCTCGTATAAATCCCATAGTAACTGTAAGTTTTGTCTGTAGGATTCCTCCATCGGTGGTAATCACCAGGGCTGAGGGACCAGGGTAGAGTGGGGCCAGCTGCTTCGGTCTCACCTTCCTCTTGTGTTGGGCAGAGAAAGTTACAGCGTGCCTACAGTTTACAACACTCAAAGATGATGCAGAATTCATGCTGGTTTATGACCAATTCTACCATCATGAATTAACATGGCTTTTCCCCTCCTCTCTCTTCATTTACTGGCAACAAAACTTAAAAATTCCAAACAACCCTTCAGGATTTATGCAAAGTCTTCATGGCCCAGACTACCTTTCACTATGACATTTTCTTGGTGTGGCAAGGACTCTAAAATGCTTCTTTTCCAGCATTTTGAGGAAGGAACCGTTCTAGAAGTTTCCCATTTTTCAGATGCTCTACAAGAAGATGCATGATGTTTGACATGTAAAAGGATGATCAATGAAACATCAGCAACATACAAACAGGAGAGAAGGTGGCATGCCTGAAGAATGTACCTATTCTAGAGATTAAAAGGAAGCCAATCAAAGGCCAACATCATACACTCAGTCAACATTACTCCAAAATGAAGTTACTAATCCCAAGGGCTAATTTGTTAAAAGCAGCACTGCAGCCTTTACCTAATAACTTGAATCCCACCACCTTAGGGAGACAATTACTACAAGACCAGCAGCCAATCTTGCTGACCTTAGGAGCTGCAGAAGATACCTGCCACCTTCTGTGGGGAGCTGAGGGAAAAAATGATGTCCCAAAATACCTCTGTAGAGAGAAAATTACTATGAACCAAGCCTCTCGGACAGTTCAAATATTTTACTGTTTAATGGGGATTGGTGAGCAGCTGGATTCCAGGGCAGCCCAGCAATGTGGCCTCTGTGGCACCTGTTGGTTTGCACCCTCTAACAGCAGGAATTCAGATTAAACAATAGAACCTGTACCAGAACAGCCTTGCTGCAGGTCATGGGACCCAGCACCAGTGCTAGAGCTCTAACACTGAACTGCTGGAAAGATACAAGCAGCTCAAGAGCCAGTGGGTGCACATGAGCTTGGCCACCACCAGCGGGATCCACACTGAGAAATACTCATAGTAAAAGATGTTACTTCCAAAGAAATCCAGTTGCTGTATTTTGGTCTGCATTGACTCCAAAGATTCCTTCCCAGCTCTCACAGGATCCTTGAGACTGGAGATTCCTTAATGGCCTTGAATGGTGAACTGGCTGAAAGGAAGTATCCTTGATTTCACTCCAAAGTCTAAGAAGGGCTGGCAGAGGTCACAGGTGCAGCACCAATAGGAAAGCCAAAATAAGCTGCTTGAAGGCATAAGAATGCATACCAATTTGTAACGGAAGTGTGATTCTATTCCTCTCTCTTCTAGAAAAGCAAATCTTTCATTAATCTTAAAAAAAAAAAAAAAAAAAAAAAGCCCAACCAGCTCTTGCCTAACAAGACACAAATCTTGCCTGGAAGACCAAGATGAATCAAACCAGAATGCTGCCAATTTTATCTTGGGAGAAGGAAGGAGCACAGTGGCTGCATACCTTCTAGAGCAGTGGCTGTGGGAGCACGTCAGCTAGATCAGGAGGAAAAAACCCCAAAAATACCAGTTGGATAGGAAACAAAGCAATCTCCTGAACAGATTATGCTAAGAAATGGCTCTGGAGTTACTGCTCCAAGGCTATGAGAGCAGAAACTGCAGACTCAATTGCTGGGAAAACAACGCCCAACAAATTGCCAAAGAACTGAGAACACAGATCTTCATCATTAATTGGTAGGAAACACTCAACAGTTATATTATTTATAGGAAGTAAATTTGGAGTGTCTTAGCGTGGACGAAAGAAACCTTAGTGTTAATCTCTGCCCGTATGTAGGGGAAAAGGTCACAACTAAGGCTAGCCAATTTTTTTTTTCCCTTTAAGGATCGAGTGAAAGGCCAGATCATGTCTCTGGGAATTCATCACCAAAATGTTACCGGATCGTTTTCTACATTCCAAACCCAGTGGGTACGACAGGCGGCCCATTTGGTGTCTGCCAGGAGTCGAAGTTCCCTTGAGGAGCGAGCCCCCCGCTCCCCCGGCACGGGCGGGGCTGCCCGGCCACCCCCAGGGCCTCAGAGGCTGCGCTGGCACCTGGCCGCAGCACAGGGCACCCTGGACGGACCGGCTGTAGGGGCAACCTGAGATCTTCCCGCAGCCTCAAGGAGAGAGGCGGCGTCCGGAGATGGGGCGGGGGAAGCGCCCGCCCCCTTCCCTCCTTCCTTCCCACCCCCGTGACTCACCCGCCCGCTCCCGGCGGACAAACTGCCAGCGCCGGAGTCACCGCCCCGTCCCGGCACTCCCGCGGGGCCGCACCACTGCCCTACCCGAGCGGCCGGGCCGGGCGCTGCCCCGCGGGACGCGCCACCCCGCAGCCCTCGGACAGCCCACCCAGGGGGGCGGCGGGGCAGAGCCCGCCGTCCCTCCCGCCCGCGCTGCCCCTCCACATTTCCGCCACCTGGAGAGTGTCCATAGAGAACGCCCATGGAGACTGTCCATGGGAAACGCCCATGCAGCATGTCCCACCGAGGGCCAGCGCCCCCCGCCTAGCCCCGTGTCCCCCGCCCGGCCGCCACCCCCGTCACCCCCCCGGCCCCTGCAGCTGCGCCTGCGCCCTCCCGCCGCCAGCTCCCCCGGCGGCCGAAGCCCCCCCGCCCCGCCGATTTGAATATGCTAACGAGGCGGGTAGAGGCTGCCCTATGGCGAGGCCAGGAGGCGGTCACGTGGGACAGGGACGTGTCCTTGAGGGGCGGGGCCCGACCTGCCCAGGCTGCCTTAAAAACGGGCGGCGAGTGAGGAAGCGCCTCAGTCAGAGCGAGAAAGTGCTGGGGCGGCGGGGTTACGGCTGCTCCGCCCGAAACTTCTGAGTAACATCAACAGGGGGAGGGGAGGGCGGGCGGCGGTGGAGGAGGAGGAGGAAGGTGGTGGTGGGGGGAAGGTTAGCCAGCAGCGCAGCCCTATCCGCCTCTCCCTCACAAACCAGCCTGTGTTGGGCTGAGCAGGCCCCTCACACAAAGGAGGGCAGGGCAGGCAGGGCTGCCCCCCCTTCCCCCCCGCCTCGGCAGAGGGGCAGCGGGGAGGCGCCCTTCCCCGTGCACAGCACTCACAGCCACTTACTCCTCTCCCGTCCCCCGTCTTCTCTCTCCCCCTTTCCCCCCCACCCCGCCCAACGGTTCTCCCTTCAGCCCCCTGCCCGCTGTCCATGTAGCCGCCCGGCCGCCGGCCCTCCGCACTATGCCCATCTTACTCTTCCTGATAGACACGTCCGCCTCCATGAACCAGCGCACCCATCTGGGCACCACCTATCTGGACATAGCCAAAGGCGCTGTAGAGACTTTCATGAAGGTACCGGGCTCTGCCTTGCGAGAAGAGGCGAGAGAGAGAGCGAGAGTGACTGCGTGGGGAGGGGAGGGGGCGGCAGGGAGCGGGGGGCTGCCTGGGCCGGGGGCGCGGGGAGAGAGCGGGCGAGTGCGTGTGTGTGCGGGCAGGGAGGGAGGGCAGGGCCGGGCCGAGCTGAGCCGGGGGGCTCCGGCGGCGGCGCCGCCTCTTGGCTCACCCTCTGCTTTGTCCCCCGTGCCGCAGCTCCGAGCCCGGGACCCGGCCAGCAGGGGAGACAGGTACATGCTGGTCACTTTCGAGGAGCCTCCCTACGCTATCAAGGTAACCCCCGCTCACCCCCCTCCTCCTCGGCCTCCTTCCGGCCCCGCCGCCCCCCGCCCGCCTCGGCCCAGCTGCCGGCGGTCCGGGCAGCGCGGCACACACGGGCTCCGGCGGCGGCGCTGACATCAACATGGCCGACGCTTTCCCCTGTGCGGTGTGTGCGAGCAGCAATGAACTGTGGGGGATATTTATTCAAGTTGGGAGAAGTGACAGCAACTCCAAGGAGAGTTCGGCTGCGAAGGGGCGAGCTGGCGGAAGGACCGACTTCAGCCCGGAGAGCCCGGACTCGGAAGGGGACGGCACTTCCCTCGCCCCTCCGGGGCCGGGAGGGGGAGGCGCACCGCGCGGGGGAAGAGGGTGGTGGGTCCACATGACAGAGGAGGGTGAACCTGTTGGAAGTCCCTTCACAGTGTAATTGGCTTCCATCTGGAAAGCGCTCTGGGAGGGTGGTGTAAATACTTATAAGATTTTGGCACCGGTGACTTCACAGAAATTTGTCCTGTGGAACAAAATGCCTGTTTGATAGGTGGGGAACTCTAAGATTTAAGAGGAGTGCATCTTTTTAGGCTTTTTCGACAGCATTAAATATAAAGTAACTTCTGTTTTATTAGCATTTGTAGTGAGCTGTATGCAGTGTGGAAGGCACTTTGTAGCCTAACAGGAAAGTAAAACGTGTATCTGCAGAATAAGCCTTCTCATGTTTCTCTTTGCAGGCTGGCTGGAAGGAAAACCATGCAACGTTTATGAATGAACTGAAGAACCTTCAAGCTGAAGGACTTACAACTCTTGGCCAGTCCCTAAGGACAGCTTTTGATTTATTAAACTTAAATAGATTAGTAACTGGCATAGACAACTATGGGCAGGTAGGTTGACTGTTAATAGGTGCAAATATCTTATAACACAAACTTCCCAGAGGTAGCAATTAGCTAGTTGTCCAAAGTGGCATCTTCATGAAATACTCAATATGGGGACTTCTTCAAAAATAAGCAGAGCTCAAATAGCTTGAAGAAATAGTCAGTGATCATAGTTCGGTACTCAACTTACCTTTTTTTAAATTCAGTTATTCCTCAGTTTTTAAGCTGTGACATAGCCTCGAAGCTGACATTCTCAGTTCAACTGTAACTTTTTTTTTCTGTATCAAGTCTGTGTTCAGTACCTTAGCTAAGGAGCCTGATATGGTTATGAGAACTTTGCTTTCTCTATACAGTGCTGTATAATCAATTAAGTACAGTTTGGGAGATGAGCCATTTTTGTAATAACACTACATGTCCAAAAGTACTAGAAGGAGCATGACTTTTTGAAAACCATTTCTTTCCAGTAAGTCTACCACAGCATTTCTCTGCATATCTGTATCTTTATAAACCTGCCTGTTGTACCAGAGCCTTGAGAAGTTGTGCTTTTTAAATATCTCTAATGCAACTATCCCTTTAAAGCAGGACTTCTGTTTGGGGTGGGCCAACATTCTTTTGCTCATCAATATGAATTGCTAAAAGACAGAAACTGTAGGTTAAATGTGTGCATTAGGAAGTGTACCGAGTTCTTTCTGGCACTGGATCAAAGCCTGGATTTGTTTCGCTTGAAGGATGTTATTAGTATTGGGCAAAGTATAACATGTATTTTTCACATGGGATGTACTAACTTGAATCTGCCCTTTTTGGTTGTTATTCTCATGTAATGCTTCCTTCACTATCTGAGGATTAGTTAATAATATATAATGGCCAGTCTTCGCGAGCGAAGATTTGGGAAAGGTCATTAACCCTTCGAGCCTGCGCAGTGGATTTTTTTTTAGGTGAGACCCAGAGACCCAGCGTGCGCTGAACTGAGCCCACCCTTTAATCCTGAGGTTCATCTGCCGGGGCTGAGCAAGCTTGGACAGTGGCAGTGAGGGTCTCAGGACGTAGGTTTGTTTAGAGTGACCTTCTCTTAGATGGATTGCCTCACAGGGCTAATGAGCTCCATCTGCCTGGGGGGGCTGGTTACTGCTCTTGGTATTTAACATGGAAACGTGGTTGTGAACATAAGTCCATTTCTTCCCCTCCCCTTTCCAGTCTGTGCAGAGTCTGTGTGATAACATGCCACGTCTGTTTGGGAAGTAAATTTGTCATGCTGCATTGTAATGCTTTGCCACTAGATGATCAAGTGAGCCTAAACATTTTTAAAATCCCAATTCAATGATGAAATTAAAAAAAAAAAGTGGTAGTTCCACACATGGCTATATTTTTTTCTATTACCATCTGATGTCCTCATACATCTGTGTGTAATCTTCCCTGTATTTTGATGTTTTTGTTTAGTTATATGAGCTACACGAATCTTTTTGAACAGTTAACCACTGTAGGCACATACACAGAATACTTGCTCTTTCCTGTTGCTACTGGTATTTATTCTAATTCACATAAAATAATTTGCTCTAAGTGAACCAGTTGTGCTCAGCTACTCAATCAAGTGGGCAGTTGAGTTGTCATGATTGTTTTAACTCACAAGTAGTGTTCATTACTGCAATATTCCCTTTTTTCTATGAAGAGATGACTTTTATCTGTTTTGGTTATAAGTATCTCTGGGCTTGAACTCACCCGTGCTTATGCATGTTTTTTGCTCCATTCCATATGTGGAGCTGGCTGTTGAAGAGGTGTTCACATGTGCAGTCAGGTGACTAAATAGAAATCCTAACTCTTTTTAGTGTCTGCAAAAATAGATGAATATATTGCAAGTGCCAGGTCATCTGCTGCTGAAGTCACAGGTTCCCATTTTGGCTGTTCTAATCAAAGTAGAATTTTTTTTTTTTTACATAAATCAGATATAATTCTGGAGCACTTAATTGGTCCTCCAGCACTTGCAGGGTGAGATCCAGGGCTGTTAACTGTCCAATCACATTGGTCTTTGAGTGCTATGTCTTTTTATCCTGTCTTCCTGTTGTTCATGTCTACTACCTAAAATTGGCTCCAAATGAATGGGTATTTAACCATAGTCTGAGAAACTTAAAAATTCAGGAAAATTGATCAGAATCCTCACTTGAATTTGAAATAGTTTTCACTCAGAACATCAAGTGCTGATTCTCTTTTTTTAAAGCACCTGCAAATATTAAGATCACAAAATAGTGGTTAACTAAAATACAGCAGGCAGATGTTTGAAGAATGATTCTTAGAGTGGGAGGAGATAATTTTACAAAAAAGTAACATTTAGACTCTCTTAGGTGTGGTATTATGTGACATAATAAATCCAAACTTTTATTAAGCGCCTTTTTTTTTGTGGGAAGTCTTTCTGGCTTAAGATCTTTTGACTAACTTTCTTATATTTTAGTGTACTGACAAGCTTCTAAGATATTTGCCAAGATCCACTTGTTTCACGTTTGAATTGTAAAACAGACTTTTCTTATACATGCAAATGACAAGACATGATACAAGCTTGATGGGATTCTCTGGTTATGTCATCCAGCAGTGTGATATTTTGTCCCCCTACTGAGTATGAACTTTTTGTTTGAATGGCACTGTGACTCACTTTACTTGATTTCTTCCAAAGTCAGCCAGAGTTCTCCATCAGCTGACATCCTGAACAAGAGTGATGGCTGAACGGTCATTCTGAAAATGAAGAAAATCTCCTGCTTCGTATTTTCTTGCAACTTTAATATTTGGATTTTTATTATAAGTGTTTATCATACTACTTAAGTAAATAAGTACTGACTCAGTTACTCAAAGATTGAGTTATCAAGTGGTCAGATGATCACTGTGTCTCGCATTTAGATCTTAAAGGGACACTGTCAATACATTTAGATTGTTAAGAACCTGGAAGATTTTTTTCAAAAGCTATTTCTACTACTAATGCTATGTTATGACTTTATAAACACGTTATCTTAGGTAGGATTGGTAGATCCAGGTTTTTGTGAAGGCTTTTGTCAAGACAAAAAGGTTTTGGAAAGTACACATATTTTAAGGTGGCTGTTCCTTTAACTTTTGCAGCACTTTGAGATTGATAAATTCAGTATTATACTGCTCGAATCCAATAATAGCTTTTCCCCCCATAGTATGCTTTGTGATGATTATGATAGCAGAAGAATGAATGTTCAAATAGGGTGTCAGCTTTTAGCCTTCGCTAAAAATAGCAGTCCCTCTCACCTTCTGCATTTTTATGGAGTGCTTAGGAAAAATACAGGATTTGGATGTCTTCAGGAAGAAAGCAGTTTAAACACATGAATTTCAGGAAGCGTTTACTGTCATACAAAATGTTGTACTTGATTAGCCCAGTTTGCACTTAGCTAATTGACTTCTCTTATTTTTCTCCAGTTAAGCTTCTCCATTGTTTTAGGTAGTCTGAAATACTTAGCCTTTTACTAGCAGATTTTTTTTTTGTCCTCTTAGAATACACTACGCCTTACAACTATGGTTTGTTCACCAGTACATGTATAGTCACAATTTAACTAAATAGTTTTGAGTGAAGTAAATGTGCAGTTTGTAATCGTTGATAGAAGGGTTAAATACTAATAGATGTGTTTCTGTGGAAACAGAAAACATGGAAAAGGTAGCTACTGTTACAGTAAAAATGTAAACAAATGATTGAAATGAACTGTCAATGTACTTCAATTATTTGAAGTTTGTAGTGAGATTTTGAAGATTAAGCACTGAATCTAAGGTAGGTAAAATATACGTTTCAATAGAGTTTTGATATTCACATGCAAAGGACCAACACAGCACTGACGAAACTAGAATCTGACAGATCTTCGAAATTGCTAAAGCTCTGATTTTCCCATACCCCAGGTGTTTCACCTTGCTCGTTGTTATTTGTGGAATGAAGGTCTCCTATTTTTTTTCAGCAGTATTGCATAGAATAAGCTTTGAGAGGCTAAAATACACTTAGATAAGTGGATTTCAAAGTGATAGAGTTGATACATCTAAGCGTTTTTAGAGATTTTATTTCAGGGTAAAATTTTGTTTTAATACGGCAGATAGAGTGTTTTTCAATAACATAAGCTTTTTATGAGCTTTTTATTCCCTTAGAGTATCTTGCACATATTCTTCAGCATTGTAATTATTATTGATACAGTAAAATTGTCTTAGATATCAGTTTGACTTTTAAAGAAATTTGATGTAAAAAAAAAGCACATGCTAACTTAGTTGTTTTGCAACAGAACAGTCAACCATAATGCTTCTGTAATGCAAGTGGACTTAATATAAGTATTTTTCAATCACAGTGCTGCCTGGAGTTAGAGTAATACATGAAACACTTGTTTGGATGACTTACCAGGCTGTGTGCAGTCTTGGTGAAAGCCTTTTTTTTTTTTTTTTTTTCTGCAGTGCATTTCACATATGAACAGAAGCATAACTAAGAAATATTGAGACAAACTAAAATCCAAATGGAATTCAACTGATTAAGAGTATTTTGGGAACTTAAAAATATGCTGAGGGCTGGAAAGAGATATTTCTGATCTGGAAGTTGGAAGGTATTCTGTATTGTTGGCATTGTTTTAAACACCTTAAGTTTTTTCCAAGTGTTTTATTCATACCACATATGACCATCAAACAATACAATCTTAGGTTAACTGCTACTTCATAGTTCTCTCTGAATATATGGTTAGACCCATTCATAGTAGCTACAGTAGCAGAATTGCTGATGTGTTCACACAGTAAAACTTAACATTGGTCTGTAGAGATCAGCATGCTCTGCTGTAATGACTTAAATACTACAGTATTCCAAATACAGGTAAATAGCATACCTAGGAGATCAAGTCTAATCATCCTTGTAGGCACAAGAGAGCTTTAAGTCGTGTGTTGTAGGCTGACTCCTTGCTTGTGTGCTTATCCATGTCTAGGATCTTCTGAGCTTATAAAACCCACAACAATCACATGTGAAATATTGTCCCCTGACATGGACT